TAAAGACTTGTGTCGTTAAAATTTCGTCGGAACGAAGTTACGGAAGAATCCATTAACGAAACGGAGACGTAACAATATTGTCATGGGCAAGAAAGTCGTTTAGTTGATTTTTTTGTTTATCCTTTTGAGATAACAAGCGATCTGTTATAGCAGCGTCATTTGTTCCATTGTTCACTTCATCCCAACTGAAATGTCCTGGACCGTGATAACGCCAAAGCCTGTTGCCATGCGCCACCTTTGGCTTACCTCGCCGACCACATTTTGTCCGAAAAGTTACGCCTGAGAGACGATCCATTATGTCATATGGGCCTTCCCATGGAGAAGACAACTTAGGAGACTTCCCTTTTGTTATCCTGGGATTACACAACTTCACCTTGTCTCCTGGTATAAAGCTGACTTCAGTAGATCTCTAATCATAACATAGCTTCATTGAATCAGCAGACGTTTTCAAGTTTGAACGCACTTGATGGTGAATATCATCCATCCTTTCCGATAACACTTTCACAAACTCTGACACATTTTCAGGCAACTCTTCATAAGGTGGGTATCATGTTAACAGATCTACTGGCAACCGAAGTTCCCGACCAAACATCAACTTTGCTGGAGTGTATCCAGTGGCTTCATGCTCTGATTTAATATCTATGCCTGGTTCCATTTCACCATCATCAAGTTCTTCAGTCACTTTGACTTCAGCTTGATGACACCTAATTTGTTCAACCTCTCTTTTAACAGTTACTGGAACCTGGCCTTTGTTGTTCCCAAACGTCATTTCATCCAAATTAATTACAAACTCGGTAGTAAGTAGTCCAATCCTAATATGCATTCGTCTTCAATGTCAGCCAAGTATACTTTCTGTCTGTCCTTTATGCCCATGAGCTCAATAGTTATCTACACTGGTCCGCACAACCTTGCAGAATGTTCTGTCAACTATAGCTGCTCCACTACATGATTTGACCAAAAAAGGCCAGAAGTTTGAATGGACAGTTTCTTGCCAGCATGCCTTCAAGAGTTTGAAAGAAAAATTGGCCTCAGCTCCACTTTTAAAGCTTCCAGATACCTCACTGCCGTACATACTGGATTATGATGCTAGTAATGTCGGAATTGGAGGAGTGTTGTCTCAGAAAGTGGGCGAAAACGAACATGTGGTGGCCTACTTCAGTAGGGTCCTGAGTCGACCAGAGAGGAACTATTGTGTAACACGGAGGGAACTCCTTGCTGTAGTAAAGAGTCCGACATATTTCCATCCTTACCTCTATGGGGCTAGGTTTACCATCAGGACAGACCATGCTGCATTACGCTGGTTAAGATCATTAAAAACCTAGAGGGACAACTGACACGTTCGATTGGAAAGATAGACCAGTATAATTATGATATTGTATACAGAGAAGGAAAATCTCATGGAAATGCCGATGGACTGAGCCGAAGACCCTGCAACAATGACTGCAGATATTGCTGCAAAAGAGAGGTTGAGCTAACCAGATGTCATGAAGCTGAAGTTAAAGTGACTGAAGGAGTTGATGATGGTGAAGTGGAACCAGGTATAGATATTAAATCAGAGCAGGAGAAAGACCAAGATTTGAAGCCAGTAATTGATTTTCTAAAAGCAAATGTTTTGCACCCTGCTTGGGAGAAGGTGTCTAGCTTAAGCCCTGTGACAAAGAGCTATTGGGCACAATGGGACCAGTTGAAGCTGGAAGATAGTATTCTTCTCCGGAGATGGGAAACTGCAGATGGGAAAGTGACGACCTGGCAAATAGTTATACCGAGAAAGTTACAAGAAATTGTGCTGCGTCAATCCCATGATAGTTTAACAGGAGGACATCTCGGAGTTAAGAAGACATTGAGTCACCTACGACAGAGATTTTACTGGATAGGTATGAGGCAAGATGTGGAAGAATGGTGCAGGATATGCAGTATATGTTTGCTAAAAGGGGGACCCAAGCATAAGGGACGTGCTCCAGTGAAGTTATATCAAGTTGGTGCACCAATGGAAAGAGTAGCTGTTGACATTGCTGGTCCTTTGCCCCAAACTCGTGCAGGAAACAGATACATTTGTGTGGTGATGGATTATTTCACCAAGTGGCCTGAGGCATATGCAATACCAAATCAGGAAGCTACAACTGTAGCTTTGGTTATTAGTGATTAATTCTTCAGATTTGGTATGCCATATAAACTGCATTCAGATCAAGGCCGTAACTTTGAATCAGTTGTGTTCCATGAATGCTGCAAGTTGTTTGGCATACGAAAGACCAGAACAATGCCACTTCCCCCACAGTCTGATGGGATGGTAGAAAAGTACAATTGTACACTTGGACAGGAATTGGCAAAGTTTTGTAATAGCTACCGAGATGACTGGGATGTTTTACTCCCTCCACTGTTGATGGCCTATAGAACAGCAGAGCATGAAGCCACTGGATACACTCCAGCCAAGTTGATGTTTGGTCGGGAACTTCGGTTTCTAGTGACTCTGATAACAGAACGCCCACCTTACGAAGAGTTGCCTTCTTTTTTTAAACCTGATATCACTTCGAGAGTCATTCTTTGCTTCCCTCCCAGTATATCGAAATCCTTCCTATGATAATAAGTTGAAACTTGGACACTGTACTCCAAATGACAACTGCTTCGAGATTTCTTTAAATGACGCAGATCTTCAAGCTCTTACTACCAATAAATTCCAAACTTTTTTATCCTATATCTTCCTCCGCTAGGCTCTCTTACTCGATCTCTTTCTCCTTGTCTTGAAGTTTTTTAGTGGATCAGAGGTAAGTTTGGACTTATACCGATATATATATATATATACAAAGTTCCATTCCTAACAATGTGCAAAGCGCAGATAGCACACCGAGTTGATTTGCGATACGAAACAATAACAACTTAGTGATAACAGAAAATTTAGATAATTAATCAGTCAAATTGCTATCAGTATCATTAATACAGAAAACAAATAAACAAAAAATATATCGCAGGAAATTAAATGCTTATATTCAGCCAATTTTAGTATCCTAAATTTATATCACATTTTTACTATTATTTTTTGTCATTGTTTGACTAAGATTTTTTATTTATTCTTTTTTATTGCAATGCCTAAGATTTTATACTGTTTTCTTGTGGCTGAGCTCTAAAAATTTTAAATTACATATTTTTGATAACTTCTTAATTTGACAGTAGAGGACTTGATATGGTCATGATTAATACGTTATATGTTTGGCAGAAGGAATTAACAGTAAAGAGATTATATCCCATTTCAATCAACTGTTAGAAAATTTAAAAAACGCTGCCGGTGAGTACATGATAATAATTTTTTATATGTGTATTTCATATGTTAGTATTAATGAATTATAAACTAGCGTATAAAATAAACTA